TTTAAAAAACAAAAAAATAATTTTTTTAAAATAAAAATTTCTAGGATGAAACCATAAGGAGCCCTTGTGGAGGAACACTTAAGCGCTTGGCTGCTAACCAAAACGTTGGCAGTTCAAACCCACCCAGCAGCTCTGTGGGAGAAAGACTTCGTGATCTGCTTCTGTAAAGATTACAGCCTAGAAACCTTATGTGGCAGTTCTACTCTGCTCCATAGGGTCACTATGGGCCAAAATTGACTCGATGACACCTAACAACAGGATAAAATCACTACCATGAAGAAATATTAAGTGGCACTGCAAGCAAAGAAAATGTACATTGGTCTGGACAAAGAATTTTAGTTGGAACGGACTGAACTATTTAAGCAAAGAAGCAAAATTTATGCAGCATTAATCTATAAATATAAATGGTGTCCTTTGTAATTTTATGAGCAACGACAAATTAGATCTACAGACTCTGATACCCTAGGGCGAGAAAAATTATTTTAAATGAAAAGTTCTACTAAATTCCCAGTATCCAAACTTACCTCAAATAAGAGTAAGGTTATACCCTACAGATAATTTTTTTTTTTTTTGAGTCATCAGTTCAATCACTGAATCTCACATACCAAACCCACAATGACTTAATCTGTTGCTGGAAAATCTATAGGATCAGAAATTTATGTAAGACTCCCTTCTGATTCAGTTCTCTTTCATATGAAGTGCCTTGGTGGCACAGTAGTTAAGTGCTTGGCTGCTAACTGAAAGGTCAGCGGTTCAAACCTACCAGCCACTCCATGTGACAAAGATGTGGAAGCATGTTTCTGTGAAGATTACTCACAGCCTTAGAAACCTACGAGGCAGTTCTACTCTATCCTATAGGGTCGCTATGAGTCGCAACAGACTTGAGGGCAATGTGTCTCTTTCGCATATATCTGATTCATCTGCATAGCAGAAAAGATGGAAACTAGAAAACTAATACAGAATTAAATTCCAATTTGAAAATTAAAAATAGAAAATCTATCTAATTAGAAACAATTTATGACAAGCAACTTGTGATTCTAAAATTACTTCGAAGATAGGCAAAATAAATTTGTTTATTTTACGTTAATGACAAAGATTAAAATTTTTTGAGATTTTTCAGTAAGAGAAAAAAGTAGGCCTCAGTGCTTTTAAATAACCCTTCAATTTTTTTGGCTGTTAGCTCACTTTAAGCATTTGTTTATTGGCATAAATAACTCATCATCATAACAGGTTACATTACCATTTGAAAAAATGTAAAAAAAACTTAACGGTTCTTTAACAGTAAAATATCAGATACAGACTCTAACAATCAACAGACCTTTGATTCAAAAGGTTACCTTGGTTTGACACGTGACTATTAAGAGTTGATGCTGTTTACAAGTAGTAGCTGACATATTATTATGGAAGAAAGAGTGGACATTAATTTGAAACACATACGTTTTACACTGCCAATCATTAGCGCTAAACAGGCCTCGGCTCTTTTCTGCAAGTGTCTTTCCTATTTCTGTGCCCCCAGCTTTCATCATCTTGGCTTCAGTTGTTTTCTCTGAAAATAGAAAAATAATGCAATATGAACCTGGAGAAACAAACAAATCACCTGAATACATAATCTTAACAGAATCTTCCTTAAATACTTACCTCGTCCACAACGATTACAGCTGGTTCTTCTAGCAAAATTTACATTTCCACATCTGGAAATAAAATAAAAAAGTATTTATAGAAATATTTTTTGAATCCTGAAAATAGTTTTTATTCTACATACACAACTCTTTAGTAAGTTCTATGTATCTAAAGTACTGAACTTCTAGCTCCACCTCAGTCATGTTAATGCCAATGCTAACAACAAGAAAAATTTACAATTTAGTAGAAAAAATATAGGAACTCCCAGTCTAGAAAATGACACGTCACTAAAGAAACAAGTATTAGAGAAAACACAAAATGGTAAAAATGCACCAAGGAGGAGAAAATGGATAAATCAGAGAGGGTTTCAAGGACCTTGATGAAATGCACTTTTTACAGGCAGGAAGTAGGATGAGAAGGAAAGAAGGAAGATAACATTGTACTACAAACAGCCCTAGTGGAGCAGTGGTTAAGAGCTCCGCTGCTAGCCAAAAGGCTGGCAGTTTCGATACACCAGCTGCTCCTTGGAAACCTTCTCAGGCAGTACTACTCTGTCCTACAGAGTTGCTATGAGTCAGAATCGACTCAATGGAAATGGTTTTTTTTTGTTTGTTTGTTTGTTTTGTTTTTTTTATCAAACCTCTGAGATCTAGGAGCTAAAAATGAGGCAACTATCACAATCAATAACCTCCCTCAACACATGGAGTAATACACACACAGTACGTTTTTATACTTATAAACAGGAAACTTAATTAAAAGCAATAATAATATTGGTTCACTCACTTGCTTTTAATAGTGCACCTGCATACCTATTGGTAAAAGCATGTTATATGCTCTGAATGACAAGTAATGCTTAAATTAAAAAAAAGGAAAAAATTACTTTTTTAAAAGATATTATGCTAAAGTTGAGATGCACAGAATGGACACTAAAGTGAAGCACTCCATGTAATTTTTTAGATTATCTTCCCCCTAAAGAATATCATATCCTTAGGCTCCTAATCAACTCGATGACAATGGGTATGCTGCCAATAAACACTGAAAACATATTCTATTCATATATTTGTAACTGAGTTGAAAGGCACTCCCATAAAAGTCCTACCTTAAATATCTGGCTGTGAGAGTAAATATTTGGAGGTAAGAATCCTACCTTAAATATTTGGGTGTAAGAGTCCTACCTTAAACATTTGGGTGTTTAAGAGTTCTATACTAAATATTTGGGTGTACTGTCATTAAGGACACTGACAAAAGCACATTTCTACAAGTGATCAACAACATAAAAGTTAGAAATTGTTTTATACCTTCTTACTGTTATCAACAGTCTTACCATTCAGAACAATGCTATTCATCACCTAAGACTTGTATTCATTAGATCTGAGTTTCTTTAAGTCATCTTAACAGTTATGCAATGGAGGACCATTACTTTACTACACACAAAAAAGGACAAAGTTTTCATTTAAACTGTTAACATGAGGATAGAATTCAAATGCTGGGGCAATACAGTCTTAATCATCTAATGACATTAGATGATTAGATGATTTAACTTTTAACAACTATTACTTCCAATTACTTCCAATAGCTATCAATTAATGAGTATTTGCTACATTTCACTGTATCTATGCTGTTTTATCATAAGGAGGCTAATCTAGTTTCATTTTCAAAAAAGTCACACACTCACTCACTCACTCACTCACTCCATAATCTGTGAGAGAACTGGAATTAAACCCAGGTTTGTTTGCTCTAAAGGTTTTGCTCTTTACTAACTTAAACTCAAAGACATCATCATCAACGGTTTTTATTTGAGCATGAGTTACATATTTTTTTTTTTGACATTTACTTTCCATAAGGGTGGGCCGGTTTGTGCATCCTTCAATAAAAGCTAACAATTTAATAGAGTATACTGGCTTAAGCAATAATGTCAAAATGCAAAGCCACTAAAACACATGCTTGTCTGCTGCAGGCATCCCTAGGGCTAAGCAGACAAAAACACAGACCTCTTTCCTTTGGGCTCTAACTAGACGAAAGGTTCAGTTCTTGTGAATTTAAAGGTCAATTAGGAAAAATGAATATCCCAAACCAAACAGTGAAGAAGGAATAAACTACGGAGGAAAAGTTGATTAAAAAAACAAACAAAAACAAAACTGTTGAACTTTAAGAAGCAAAAGTTCGAGTGCAAGAAAGCAAACCTTTCCGAAAACAAAGTTCTGGAAAAAAAGTCCCGTGGGGGAGATCCAACACCAAGCCGGCCTCGACAAGGGAGACAGATTTCCTTATCGCTGAAACCTAGACCGTGGGGGGAGGGGGAAGGCAAAGGGTAAACGATCTCGCTCTCCAGAAAGGGTCATCTGGAAGCGATAATGTCGGGGAAATGCTGGCGATATAACTAAAACAAAAACTCCCGAAAGACCTCGCCAATGAGGAGATCGAGAATCTCTTTCCCGCCCAGGAGCCGGCGATTCGCCGCCTCAATCCGGTGTAGCGCACGGAGAAGATAGAAAGAACGGAAAATGCCGAATCGACCTAATAAAACATTCGCCGATAAACCCTGGCCCAATTCGGGACCCTTCATAGACTCACTTTTTGTCAGGGCAAATCCAATCCCCGTCACTGACTCGGAAATTCTTGGTCGACATCTTGTCCACAGCCACCCGCAGCTACGTCTTCACAGGAGGAAGCGGGCCAGGGACTTTCGCACCCCGAGGCTGTCCCCCACGCCGCCTGACTCCCACTCACCACTGCGTCAAGGTTTGATAAAGGTGGCACCAGGCCAGGTTTGAGTTTGAACGTTACTCTCTAGAGTAAGATCCTGTGTGACAGTTTTCTGGCCAACAGAGTTATAATGCAAACATCTCTTCCAGGACTAAGCTAACAGGCGCCATAGGGACAGCCCGAGCGGGAGGCCTTCGTGGCACTAGTCGCCTGGTAGAGCCCTCTACAGGCGGGAGGACCCGAGAGAAAGTTTCTTCCGCTTAGTTGGGCGGAGCTAGGGAGGTGGAGGCGGAAGTGACTGTAATCAGTTCAGAGTCGTAAAAGGTAGGGTTGTGCTTTCTGCGTCAGAGCTTCTGGTGCTTGGTTTGGTCAATTTTTAGCGGAAGTTATTTTGCTAAAGGAGGAAAACTGTTCTTTCATGTGCTGATAGAATGTAGTTTAAAAACCTACCTTAGTATTTGCTATATAAACAAATTAATAGATGTTAGTGCTCACCTGGAACCGACCATTAATTTTAGAACTAGGATATTGCCAATATTGTTGAAAATACCTATCTTACCCTATCCCATCTTCTTGCCTCCCTGCAGAGGTTAACACGCATCTGTATTTTGGGTTTATTCTTTGCTGTTTAAAAATTTAGTTCATGTGTATGTATGTTTAATTTGATAAACGAGCGTCGTAAGAATTGTTATCTGATCTTCTGCAGTTCTCTTTTTCACTCAACATTATGCTTCTAAATTCGTCCAGGCTTGCATGTAGTTACATGTAGCTGTAGTTCTTTGTTTTCACAGCTGTATACTGGTAACAGTGCTTTGACAACTTACTCGTTTGTTTCCCAGATTTTGGCCATTACAAACAACACTGCCATGAACATTCTTACACATTATAGCTTCTGATGATATACAAATGCGGTAGTTTTTCTAGGATAGAGCATATACCTAGGAGAGGGATTATTCGACTTTACAAGATAATGCTAAATTGCCATACAAGGTGATTGTGCCTATCTGTAGACCCATTAGCAGTATTTTAAGGGTTACCAGTTCCCCCAGACATTTGCCAGCATTGGGTACTGTCGGATTTCTTAATTTTTGCAAGTCAGGTAGTATAAAATAGTATCCTACTGTGATCTTAAATTTACATTTCCCTGATTACCAAAGATATTAAGCATCTCTTAATGCTTATTGACAGTTTGTATTTTCTCTTCGGTAAGATGGCTGTTCAAGTTGCTTATTTTTCTATTAGGTTGTCTATCGTTTTCATATTGAGTTGTTTTATTCCATTCATATAAAATGAAATTCTAGAAAAAACAAAACTAGCTGTAGAAAACAGATTAATGGTTGCCTCAGAGTAGGGTTGGAAAGAAATTACTGAAAAGGGGCATGAGAAAACTTTTTGGAGTGATTCAGTATCTTGATTGTGGTAGTGGTTACACTAACATATAAACTTGTCAAAAATCATCAAACTGTACATTTAAAATTGGCAAATTTTGTTGTGTGTAAATTATGCCTGATTAAGCTGGTTTCAAAAAAATAAAAAGTCAAGTCGTGTCAGCTGTTGACCTTTTAGCCACCAGCAGGAGTAACAAGTACAGAATAATATGATTTTTAGGGGCTGGTAGTCAGCTAGTACTCGGTTGCTCTCTGTTCTGCAAAGACTAGCTAATGCTCCAGTTGTCTCCTGTTCTGCAAAGACTATGACATTTAAACAAACATAAAAGTAGCAGTGTGAATATCTATGCCCAGTCAAAACTCAAACTGGGATACTGAAATCTCTTTTTATGTACTTCAGTTTCTCGGTGTCACATCTAGGCCAGTTATTACTCTTTACTATAATTGCATTGAAGTGTGGCATAATCCTATCATAACACAATGAATTTCAGCGTTAGGTGACTAAAGAGAGATGCTTTGAGATGAATTATATGTGGCATTTCATTTTTAAAAAAATGCCTGGGAAGATGTGCACAGCTCAACTCTATAATATTCCTTAATATTCCTTTCTAGTATTTCTCCAAATCAAAACTAACTTACGAGAGTGTAAAATGTGTTTTTTCCTGAATGTGATAACTATAATCTATTTTAAAAGTAATTATCTGTAAGCTATAAGTCTTTATGTTTATATTTCATTTTAGTACTAATGTTAGTAATGTTTACTACTATTTTGTAGCTTTGTTACTAGTGTTAATAGTATTAATTACTAGCATTTTATACTATGTAACTTTGGTATTAGTATTGGTAATATTTATTACCAGTATCTTAGCTATATTTATTTAATGTTTTCTGTGTGCTAGACCTCATGTTAAATGCTTTACAAGCATTTATTTATTAAATGCATATAGCAGCCCTTTGAAGAAGGTAGTCCAACTTTCTATAAATTTACCGACATATTTTACCCGGTCATTTTATAAAAGAGAAAAGACATAAAATTGTATAGAGTATATTTGCATAATAATATTTTAGGTATTAATGTATTTCTTAAAGTGCATAGGCAGAACATATAGTGTTATGGATTGAATCATGTACCCCAAAAGTGTGTATCAACTAGACTATGCCATGATTCCTGATATTGTGTGGTGGTTCACCATTTTGTGATCTGATGTGATTATTCTGTGTGGTAAATCCTAACCTTTATGATGCTAAGAAGGCAGAATTAGAGGCAGTTATGTTAATGAGGCAGGACTTACTCTACAGGATTAGATATCTTGAGTCAATCTCTTTTGAAATATAAAAGAGAGAATCGAGCAGAGAGGAGAGGGACGTCCTACCACAAAGAGTAAGGAGCTGGGAGCAGAGTGCATCCTTTGGACCCAGGGTCCCTGCACTAAGAAACTCCTAGACCCAGGGGAAGATTGTTGACAAGGACCCTCCCCCGGAGTGTACAGAGAGAGAAAGCCTTCCCTTTGAGCTGGTGCCCTGAATTCAGACTTCTAGCCTCCTAGATTGTGAGAGAATGAATTTCTGTTTGTTAAAGCCAGCCACTTGTGGTATTTCTGTGATAGCAGCACTAGCCAACTAAGACAAATGTTTTTTTTTCTTTAACGTTTTTCTGTAGACGTTGGAGATTTCATTAAGAACAAGCAAATGTATTATTACAAATATCAATTATGATTTGAAATTAAAATGGTATTTTATTTTCTATGTTGGGAAAGGTGTAAAAGATACTGAAACTTACTGAATTCCTTCGTGTCAGACATAATGCTAGTCTCCTTATATATGTTATTTTATTTAATTATCATTATACTTGTAAGATGGATTTTTCTTATTGTGTATTTTTATTTATTTTTTTTAAATTGTAGTTTAGTTGAAGGTTTACAGAACAAATAGTTTCTCATTACACAGTACACATATTGTTTTATGACATTGGTTAACAACCCCACAACATGTCAACACTCTCCCCTCTCGACCCTAGAGGATCCCTTTTTTTTTTTTTGGTGAAAATATACATAGCCAAAGTTATACCATTTCAAAAATTTCTACATGTACAATTCAGTGACATTGATTACATTCTTCCAGTTGTGCTGCTATTCTCACTATCCTTTTCCAAATTATTCTAAGATGGATATTTTTAATTCCATTTAACAGATGAAATTAAAACTCAGAAGTAGCAATCAGTAAGTAGTAAATTGAAATCTTAGTTTATGTAATTCCAAAAGTTCTACCTTTTCCATTATACATTCTAAGCTAAAATATTCTATACAAATGTACAAGATAAAAATTAATAAAGATAACCTCTTCATAACTGGTCATTTGATTTATGTTAAAGGTGTCATTCCAGTGCAGTGATAGCAAGAGTAATCTTCTTCAATAAATGAATATCAGTTGGATATTCACTTGGAAAGAAAATATCTGGATTCCTACTTCACACCATACACAAAACTCATTTCCAAGGGTATCGATACCTTAATGTGAAAGGTAAAACAGTAAAGCTAGAAGGAAACATGGGAAAATAGCTTTATTCCCATGGGAAAATAGCTTTATGCCTATGGAAGAGGCAGAGATTTCTTCAATAAAACATACACAAAACAAGAACCTTAAAAAAAAAATGGTAGATTTAACTACATTAAAATTAGGAACTTATGTTTATCAAGTCACCACTAAGAGAGTGAAAGGACAATAGAGCAGGAGGAGATATTTGCAAAATGTGTATCTGACCAAGGACTTGTAAACAATGTATAAATAACAAGCTCTTCACAAAAGAGGGGATTTAAATGGTCAATAAACATGAAGAGGTGTAATTTTCATTAATCTTCAGGGACGTGGAAATTAATCAATACCTTTATATTCCAAGTAATATCTTGTACACTGCATACAATTGGGTCTTATTTTTTTATCCGGTCTGACAATCTCTGTCTTTTATTTGGTGCTTTTAGAACTTGTAAATTTAATGTAATTATTGATATGGTTGGATTTAGGTCTACCATTTTGTCATTTGTCACACCTCAACATAAAAAAGACAAAAATCCTCACAACTGGACAAATAAGCAACATCATGATAAATGGAGAAAAGATTGAAGTTGTCCAGGATTTCGTTTTACTTGGATTCACAATCAACACCAATGGAAGCAGCAGTCAGGAAATCAAAAGATACATTGCATTGGCCAATCTGCAGCAGAAGACCTCTTCAAAGTGTTAAAAAAGCAAAAATGTCACTTTAAGGACTAGGAGCGCCCGACCCAAGCCATGGTGTTTTTAATTGCCTCCTATGCATGTAGAAGCTGGGCAATGAATAAGGAAGCAAAGAATCGACACCTTTGAAGTATGGTGTAAGTGAAGAATATTGAATATACCATTGACTGCCAGAAGAACGAACAAGTCTGTCTTGGAAGAAATACAGCCAGAATGCTCCTTAGAAACAAAAATGGTGAGACTACATCTCAAACACTTTGGGCATGTTATTAGGAGGGATCGGTCCCTGGAGAAGGACATCATGCTTGGTAAAGTAGAGGGTCAATGAAAAAGAGGAAGACCTTCAACAAGGTGGATTG